CACCACCGTTCAAAAGTTTGGGGTCAGTAAGTTACTATTACTTTCAATCAGCAAGGACACATTAGTGATCAAAGGTGAGAGACATTTATTATATTACAAAATATTTCTATTTCAAATAATGCTGTTGTTTGAACTTTTTATTCATCAAAGAATCCTGAAAAATGTATCATGGTTTCCACAAACATATTAAGCAACACAACAGTTTTGTAACATTATAATAATAAGAAATGTTTCTTGAGCACCAAATTAGCAAATTAGAATGATTTCTGAAGCTGAAAATTCAGCTTTGCCACCACAGGAATAAATTACATTTTAAAATATCTTAAAATAGAAAACTAAAAAAAAAAAAAAGAGTAATATTTGACAATATAACTTTTACTATCGTCGGACGGTGGAAGGAATACTTTGAGGATCTCCTCAATCCGACCGACACGTGACACATCTTCCATTGAGGAAGCAGAGGGCTCAGAGGGGGACTCGTCCATCACCCAAGCTGAAGTCACCGAGGTAGTTAAGAAGCTCCTCGGTGGCAAGGCACCGGCGGTGGATGAGATCCGCCCTGAGTACCTCAAGTCTCTGGATGTTGTGGGGCTTTCTTGGCTGACACTCCTCTGCAGCATCGCGTGGCGGTTAGGGACAGTACCTCTGGACTGGCAGACGGGTGGTGGTCCCTCTTTTCAAGAAAGGGAACCGGAGGGTGTGTTCCAACTACAGGGGTGATCACACTTCTCAGCCTCCCCAGGAAAGTATTCCAGGGTACTGGAGAGGAGAATAATGCTGATAGTCGAACCCCGGATTCAGGAGGAACAGTGTGGTTTTCGTCCCGGTCGTGGAACACTGGACCAGCATATACCCTCTCCAGGGTGCTGGAGGGTTCATGGGAGTTTGCCCAACCAATCCACATGTGCTTTGTGGATTTGGAGAAGGCATTCGACTGTGTCCCTCGCAGCGTCCTGTGGAGGGTGCTCTGGGAGTATAGGGTCCGGGGCCCTCTGTTAAGGGCTGTCCGGTCCCTGTACGACCGGAGCAGGAGCTTGGTTCGCATTGCCGGCAGTAAGTCAGACTTGGTCCCGGTGCATGTTGAACTCCGGCAGGGCTGCCCTTTGTCACCGGTTCTGTTCATAATTTTTATGGACGGTTTACAACCGAGTGTGAAGCGGCTGGGATGAGAATCAGCACCTCCAAGTCCGAGGCCATGGTTCTCAGTCGGAAAAGGGTGGCTTGCTCGCTTCAGGTTGGTGGAGAGTTCCAGTGGAGGAGTTTAAGTATCTTGGGGTCTTGTTCACGAGTGAGGGAAGGATGGAACGGGAGATTGACAGACGGATCAGTGGAGCTTCTGCAGTAATACAGTCGATGTACTGGTCGGCCGTGGTGAAGAAGGAGCTGAGCTGCAAGGCGATCTACGTTCCTACTCTCACCTATGGTCATGAGCTGTGGGTCATGATCGAAAGGAAAAGATCCCGGATACAGGCGGCCAAAATGAGCTTTCAGGGTGGTTGGGCGCTCCCTTAGAGATAGGGTGAAGAGCTCTGTCACTCGGGAGGAGCTCAGAGTAGAGCCGCTGCTCCTCCACATCGAGAGGAGCCAGCTGAGGTGGCTCGGGCATCTGTTCCGGATGCTTCCTGGACGCCTTCCCGGGGAGGTGTTCCGGGCGCGTCCCACCGGGAGGAGACCCCGGGGAAGACCTAGCTGGGGGATTATGTCTCCCTGCTGGCCTGGGAACGCCTTGGTATTCCCCCGGAAGAGCTGGAGGAAGTGTCTAGGGAGAGGGAAGTCTGGGCGTCTCTGCTTAGACTGCTGCCCCCGTGACCCGACCCGAAGCGGAAGAAGATAATACTATTACTGAAATAAAGCCTTAAAGGGTTAGTTCACCCAAAAATGAAAATTATGTCATTAATGACTCTCCCTCATGTCGTTCCAAGCCCGTAAGACCTCCGTTCATCTTCGGAACACACTTCGGAACGCGGAAGTCGTAGTTTTTGTTATTTTTGGACCAAAATGTATTTTCGATGCTTCAAAACATTCTAACTAACCCACTGATGTCACATGGACTACTTTGATGTCTTTATTTCCTTTCTGGACAAGGACAGTATACCGTACATATAGCGTATTTTCAACGGAGGGACAGAAAGCTCTCGGACTAAATCTAAAATATCTTAAACTGTGTTCTGAAGATGAACGGAGGTCTTACGGCAGGGCTCGACATAAGCAATGACCCGATGGCCCGGGGCCAGTAAAAGAGTATGTCGGGCTAGTTGATTGGCCAGTCACTGGCCCGCGCGGGCCAGTGAATGGCCATCAGCAAAACAAACAGCAAACGTCATATACAGTGGCGCGAAGAGTGTCAATTCAGGTTATAACGTGTTAAAATGTCAAAGAACTACGAGGCTGATACGAGAAAGAGGACATTCCTAGTAGGGCTGGGCGGTAAATCGAGTTTGTAGGCTACAGTATATCGATTTTTTTTAAACGATATGGAATGAGGCAATACCGTTTCGATACAGTAGTATCATCTGAATATACGAGCACATCTGAAAAATAGCGGAGTACGCAGTGTGAGCTCCTGCAGTGAAAAAACATAGTACAATTTGTCCTAAACATGACACAAGCTTATATTAAGCACTTCAAAATAACTTGTAAGATACAGTTAACAAGTTTAAAGCAGCTTGCCCTGTCAGATGCTCTGACAGATACTGTTGCTGACTGACAGATAAATACTTGCGCTGTTTAATGCGTTTGAGACGTGGTGCTGCTTAACTTACATTTTACAGGTATATTCTCCATCTGTAAATGTTAGAAAGTCAAACAAATATGCCCATTTCACTGTCAGGAGAGGATGAGCTTCTGCAAGTGAACCTCCGCTAAAATTCAAGCTTCCGTGAACGAGCGCTGCCGCGAGCACGCGCGCCAAGCAGACGCGCAATAATTCTGACTAAAATATACATCTTGCTAAAATATTTGTTGTTGGAGAGAATAAATGTGCCATATGTGGAATTTTAAACCTAAGTAGGCCTATGTTTTTATGAAAGTGAGCATTATAACGGGGTAATCAAATGCAGGCTAATATAATTAGTTGTGCTTTTGTTTTTATTTTCATTTTTATTTTAGCCTTAGTCATTTTAAAAACAAAAGCATTATTTTTGTTTTTAGATTGTAATGTTAGAATGTAATATGATTTTAACCACCTTTTTGCACGTAATATATTCCATAGCCTACATTACATTCACTATATTTGTTTCCATATCCTTCAATATCAACATTGTTTGGATATCATTAAGCAGGATGTGAAATATTTTTTTTTTTAAATAAATACAGATTTTCTTTATCCAAATAGAAAAACGTAGAAAGTACCGAGATATATATCGTATATCGCCATTTAACCAAAAAATACCGAGATATGATTTTTTGGCCATATCGCCCAGTCCTAATTCCTATTGTCATGGAAAACGCAGTACACCTGGGTGGAGAAAGGCGATGAGGGCATGTACTGTTTCGTTTGCCGGAAATTTACAACAACAGCCGACCAAAATGCAAAATGCATAACCGGCCTGCCGAGTGCCGACGGGCTATCTAAAAATAGTGTAATCAAATTCCCCCCTAAACTTCTGCCTAGCCCCCCTAAAAATGTGTGATTAAGTGTAAGCTACACAAATTTGTGTTCGCTTCAGTCTTGTTATAATCAGATTCAGCACGTTCTTCATTTTTTCTTCATTGGCAGTTTTTTAGGTTATAAATGTTAAACGTATGACAAAAATAATCAGGCAAACTAATATACTTTTGTCTAATTTCGCCATTTTGAAGTGAAAATATAGCCTATGTAATTCATCACTCATGTAATGTAATAATTAGTTTACTGTCATTGTGAGGGGACAAGAAAAATTAATCCTAATGTATACAATACAGTTCAATGGAAAAGTGCTTTTCATTCTATTTCTTTCAGGGCCAGTAAAAATATAGAAGGGGCCAGCAAAACTCTGATCTACTGGCCCCGGGGGCCAGTGGGGATTTTTTTTTTATGTTGAGCCCTGCTTACGGGCTTGGAACGACATGAGGGTGAGTCATTAATGACATAATTTTCCTTTTTGGGTGAACTAACCTTTTAATGAGCTTAAGAGCTTTCAAAATCTTAAGAAAAAAAAGTCTGGACCCCAACCTTTTGAATTAAAAATAATGCAAAACTTTTCTCATTGCAACATCAAATAAAAGCAAGTTTTAGTCTCTTTGTGAAACTGTACCTGTCACAAAAGATGATGCATCAAGATTTTGTATATTTGTTTTGTTGGTTTTACAAGGATCATTGCACATTCATTTCTCCATATCAATTCCTGGAGAAGAAAAATAAAAGGTAAATGTTGTCAGAAGATGCACAAGTCATGAAAGATGTTTTCTTTAGTGGGTGGTTTGTATGCTTTTGATTACAATTGCCTGTGTTTCTTATGTCAGCGAGGGACTGACAGTCATTCTTACAGTTTGACCGTGTTTTAATTTGCAGTTCCTAATAAAGTTTTTGGAGACAAAAGTTTTGTGTATGCCAACATTTTTGAATGAATGCAAACTCATTTTTATCAATATGGAAAGAAAAGCCCTGAGTGGCTGAACAGCCTCATAGTCTCTCTTCATCCCACACACACACTCTCTCTCTCTCTCTCTCTCTCTCTCTCTCTCTCTCTCTCTCTCGCTCTCTCGCTCTCTCGCTCTCTCGCTCTCTCGCTCTCTCGCTCTCTCGCTCTCTCGCTCTCTCGCTCTCTCGCTCTCTCGCTCTCTCGCTCTCTCGCTCTCTCGCTCTCTCGCTCTCTCGCTCTCTCGCTCTCTCGCTCTCTCGCTCTCTCGCTCTCTCGCTCTCTCGCTCTCTCGCTCTCTCTCTCGCTCTCTCGCTCTCTCTCTCTTTCTCTGTGTGTGTAGTAGTTACTGGAGCATGTGTGATACATGCTATAGACAGAATCAATTCAATAATTCCTTTAGGGCTTTACACATATGCTCTGACTGCTTTATGTGTGCAGGAGCTGCAATTTGAGCGACTGACGAGAGAGTTGGAGGCTGAGAGGCAGATTGTTGCCACCCAGCTGGAGAGATGCAAGCTGGGATCTGAGACCGGAAGCATGAGCAGCATCAGGTGGGTCTAGTGGAGTGACACCTCTCAGTTACTCAATCTGTCTCATCCCACAATCACCACTTAAACCAGCTAAAATCTTTCACATCCCTCAATCACCCCTAGATCTACACCATCAAATCGTGAGCTTAGAATTATATGGTTCTATCTCCACTTTTGGTCAAAATTGAGTTTTTGACATAATCTTATCCATTAGGTATTTATTAATGCCTGTGTGGTGTTATTTTTGTAAAAAAAAATATTTTGTTAGTAGTTATTAATAAAATAAAAAGGTTCCATCTCACAAAACAGCAGGGTGTAAAAACTTTGATGCTCTATATCTCAGAACTACCCTAAACGGAGATAGAACCTTATAATTCTAAGCTCACGAAATGCCTTTAAAATCATATTGTTTTTATTCTGTGAAAATATCTTGATGTCCTTTCCCAGCTTATTCCATCATGCATATTTTCATGTAACCACATTCAGAGGAGACTCAGATCTTAACTCTATCTCTTTAAGTAAACTCTTTCAATACTGCTAAGTAAACAAAGGGTTAAGTTGTCACAAGCTTTGAATTCAGCCTGTAATTAAAATCTCAACAGTAAACGAGAACAGATACTATAATAAAACAGACTATGGATTATATGCAATCAGTTTGACCCTTCAGAGGCTGATAAGTGCTTCTAATCACTGTTTACAGCGAATGTTTAAATTGAATTGAATGGCCCCATTGTATTATCCTCTTGTTGCTGTGGAGAATATTTTTTTGTTTATTCATCAAGCCTGAAAACTCAATAAATCAAATGTCCTTCAGCTGTTCAGTCAATAAGACTCCCACGTTGCTTGCTTTGTCAGTGAGATTCTGTTGTACAGGATGATATCAGGTTTAAAGTTATATATTTGTATCCAGGGCTTGACTTTAACCCCCGCCAACCAACCAAATGCGGGTGGATTTCACTGCGGATAACGCAGTCACTTCTACTAGCCACTTTGGCGGGTTGAATTTTATATACATTTTTCAATCGTAGTCTTTTAAAAGGCTTCTGAAATAATAAGCTACGTGCAGTGTAGTGTTGTCAAAAATATTGATTTTTCGCTACATACCAATACTGAAATATCTGAAATGCTCCCAATACTCATATTCCGCTGAGTTAGACACACAATACCATGCGCTTTCTCGCTCTCATCTCATCTCTCCGACAGCGAGTTGACGGACACACCCGCCTCCCCTCACTCACTGTTTCATTTTCTCTGCCTCCGGATGAATATTGTTGCTTATACGGGGCTTGAATTTCGGCGTGGGATTTTGCGTATTGTGCATAATTTTAATCATTCCCACCCAAAGTGTGCGCACATAAAACCAAGTATATTAGCTATATAAAACAGTATAATGGGTGCGTGCGTCAGGTCTTAAAGTGACAGCAGCCTAATATACCGGCTGCCAAATTATGAGATGATATTAAAAATGTATTTTCCCCCATGGTATCGATGCCAGTGAAAATGCTGAGTAGCTAGTAACTTTAGAAACCACTAGCCACATTTGCGAATGAAGCACCGTTTCCATCCAGTGAGCCGATGAGAGCAAAATCGTCACTTCCTGATAAACTGACTCTAAATATCACAAAAAAATGGAAGTTGCTGCAGTAGGAGAAGCCACTGTATATAATAATTTCGTACATAATAAATTACTTGCGCCTCAGAGTGTGCAGACGAAACGCAATAAAGGTATCTTACTTTCGGAGGCGGATGCCTGCTGTTTGGGAACACAGTCATGTAAGACAGTTCTGGGAGGAAATTATACCGAACCACTTTGACGACAGACTTTGCTCAGGCATTTCGGAACAACCAAAACAGCATTTCAGATGCTGTGCAACAAGATCCGTCAGTTGGTTAGTCAAGTTATGTTGTCGCAAATCACATGTCGTTTTTGACGTACGTCGAGGAATTTATTCTGTAAATGTGTTTCCATCTTAATTTATGCGCATGTTTTTTTATCGGATAAAAAGTTTATCCGACTCAGTTGAGCGCTTAAGTTTTTTTTATGTGCATTTTTAGAATTTATGCCCATTTTGGCGTGTATATAGGTAAAATTAAGAAATTTATAATGACTTATAGTGTTGTTGATTGTACCTGTCTTTCAGTTTTGATGAAGCTCGATCTTTGAATGTTCTTGCATTTTTTTGCTGGCTGTCAGTGTATTTAGTCTTAAAGAGTCAGGCTAGGTCAGATCTCTTCTCAAGACAAATACACCTTACAGACAAACAAGCAGCTCAAGGCCAAAATATAATCTGCTAGTCAAATAACACTGTACTCAAGTATCTAATCAAGGTTTGCATGGATCTTGATTGCTCTCAGTTCATGGTTATTTTACTTTGTGCACTTTCTTTTCTGCTGTTCACTTCAACAGACATATACTTTCAGTGATGTTGTTACTAAATGGTGTTCGATTTCAATTGCATAACAATACGGATACAAAACACTGCACTATTATTTGTTTCTTTTTTTATAAGGCAACAAGCTGAAAGTCAGCATCAGGAGAAGCACCGTGGGCTAAAGAGAGCACTTTCAGCCCATGACCCACTTGTTTAATGAAACATGGGTCTTTTCAAATAGCACTCCATTTTGAACAAACATAATGCTGGCCTAGTTCTTCAACTAACTGATACTCAGCAAAAACAAATCTCTGATTAACCGATATGCAAAATGCCTCTGCGGCAACAGTGGAAATACCACGTGAAGTTGTCTTATTGTCTCTAGTCGGACCGAACCTACAGTAGGCACAGCGTCAAACATCTGCTGCTCTGAGTGAGGCCTTTGACTTTGACTAGACGTTCACTGTCAAGCCCTATCCGGTAGCATGGAGTTGTCTTGCTAAACGCTGTCTGTCGAGCACAGCGAGGAAGTATTAAGCCAAAGCTGTTTGACTGTTTTCCTGCCAGATTAGTCCACCAGTCTCCAGTGAGCTTGGACTGCGCTGGCACTGTACACGTCTACAATGTGTGCCTCGAGGAGAGATAATGCTCTGTTGGCATGTGGTGTAAATAAGTTGTATTGAGGAGACAATGTGTTTGACAGCTGTAATCTCACTATAGTAAAACGGCAAGCGAGAGCTTCTGGCTATACAGTTGGCAATGGGAAAATAGTATTATTAGTATTCAATTCGTAAAGTATGTACATTATTTCAGCATTTGCTATATGTAGCAACAATCTTTTTGTCTGTTCCTGCAGCTCAATTGGTAGAGTTGATGCTAGCAACATTATGGGAATGGGTAAAGCGTGTATCTTGATTACAATGTAATCTGCTTTGAATAAAAGCATCTGTCGAAATGTAAAAAGAAAATCCATGAATGTACGTCTAGTATTAGATACCCACTTTGCTTGAAATTGCATGTGAAAAGAAAAGAAAACATTGAAAGGCTTTTCCATTGAGACTGTACTGAAATGCATTATATTTCTCTTCACCCTCTAGTTGCAGAGGATAAATTGACGGAAAGAAAGATGGTGGGCTGAATTCACCAAACAGTTTTGTGTGTGTGTGTGTGAGTGTGTGTGTGTGTGCAGTAATTGAGCGCAAAAATCTGCTACCACCAGCAATCTACTTTAACTAGGCTTTTAAGTGAGCTGAAATAGCGGTGCATGTGTAAATTAATTCATGAGTATATCGTTAGTATGTAAATTAAGTTATTGTGGTTCTTTAAATCCTGGCATGCAGCATAGAAGAGTGCACTTTAAGCATACTACTCTTTTTGCAGTTACTTTTTTTGCATACTATATAGTATGGAAGTAGGCATATTCAGACACAGTGCCAGTGTTTTTTTTTTGTGTTTTTTTTGGTACAACACAAGTCAGTGGGGTCCAATGTTGTTTTGGACCCCACTGACTTTTATTATATGGATGAAAGCAGTTAAAACATTCTGTAAAACAAGAAGCTCTCATTTGTTAACATTAGTTAATGCAATAACTAACATGAACTAACACTGAAAAATATATTCTTACAACATTTCTTACCCTTTGTTAATGTTAGTTAACAAAAAAATGTTATGTTAGTTCACAGTGCATCAACTAATATTAACAGATAGCCTAGAACTTTTGATGTTAATAATGTATTAGTAAAGGCTGAAATGAACATTTACTAAGATTAATAAATGCTTTAGAAGTATTGTTCACTGTTAATGTTAATTAATGTAGTTAAATAATGTTAACAAATGAAACCTTATTGCAAAGTGTTACAAAATATTCTTCAAAATATAATGTTGTATTGTTTTCAACAAGCACCCATTGAAATTCATCCTGTTGAACCCTTATCGAAGGGACAGGGTTGAGGACACTGGCAGTAAGAAACCTTCCCATCTGCCTGTGCACCCAGGGAGTCTGTGCTCAGACAATCCCTCTCCATTCTTACAGGATATTAAGCATATTAAGGGTGTCTAGTGCACTGGCTGACTCACGCTAAGTGTCTCCCCATACAGTACAGGGAATACAGAGCGTATTGATTTAGCAGGCAATCTGTCTGGCTTAAGAGGTGATGAAAGCTTCTTCTGCTGCCCAAGTTCAGTTATAAGCACGGACTGTTTGACTTTAGCCTAACCATGTAGACTTAAACCCAGTCTGGTGACTGAGAGACAAGGATACTGTCTGCATCTCAATTACTAGGGGGTCACCCAGCAATTATTGTACTGCATGTAGCTTTCGATAACCAGATTATGCTGAATGACATATAATAAAAACAATCATTCTCATTAGTTGTATAAAATAACTCTTTGGAAGACATATTGTATAAGATATTTTGATTCAGATATAGCTAACTTATTAACATTTCTGAAAAGACATGTAAATAGCAGTACTGTGGCATTTATCATAGTATTTCCATCAGTTCTGGTTTTATTATCTAATGCTAATGTTTTAGGTCTTAATATGTTTTCTAGTCTATTTTTACACAGAGGAAGGAGAGGAAAATGTATTTTGACAACATTACATGGCTGTCAATGCCAGTGAAAGTGTCACCACTAGACAGCGACACA